TAATACATCAAAACATTGTTAAAACCAAAATCAGACACCGCCCCCCCTTTTTTTTTAAATACTCGTAGAGACCTGCTCTGGATCTTTACAAGTGAAAGTACAAAAGAAAAAAAATAGTTAATGAAATTATTATACAATTTCAACAAGCACTTGATGTTACACATAGGCCTACTACCTATAACTTATTAGGCGAGGGGTTGTATTTTTTGTTATGTCACTAGTGCCTGTGGATGTTATATAATAGTTCTAAAATATTTTATTATAAAAAAAATAAAGAATATAGAGGTGTTAAAATAGGTTTTAATAAAAATAACAGAAAATAACAGAAATTGAAAAATCACCAAGAAACCATGATTTTTTATTTGGTGTATTGGAGGGTAGGGTCCTCTACAAATGAATCCTGCGTACAAAATAAACATGCTGTTTGGTACCATTTTGAGTTTAACTTTTCATTGATAAAAATACTAATACTTTGATGGAATCATCGAATCATCATTCATTAATTTTTTTAGATAGACTTGTGTTCTTGTTTAATTGCATAAAAATCAATCATCTGCATAAAAAAATAAAGAATTTAATCTATAAGTTTACCCGTTTACGTCGTACGTGTAGACAGTGTATTACACGTTCTAAACTTGTAGCTACACGTCGGATTCGACGTCATGATGTCGAAGAACACAACAATTGATGACGTCACCCATACAAGTTCGTCACAAAACGTGTAACTAAACCTCTCTATTCTCTCTCTACATTGTACTTGTGAACAAATATTTGATATTTACTTTTGTCAGTTATTTTTTGAGTGATCAAAGTTACTGGTATGTTAACTTTTGTCTGTCTTCATGTTTGAATTTCACCCTGGAATAAAGATGAAAAGCATAACAGTCCCTATTTTGAATATTACTGCAATATATGATTTAGGTGACAAAGAGACTATCATCCCATCCCTGTGTGATAACTGTGGCAGAGATGGCTTCAGCCAGACACTTTCTTAGGACCACACTGGCAGGCAAAAGTCAGGAGGAGAGATACAGACTGCTTCAACCCACACTGGAAATCAACCCCAGGTAAGGAGTAAGGGAAGAATGAGCTATACTGGAAATCAATCCCAAGTAAGGGATTAACATTCTTCACTGGAAATCAATCCTTGATTAGGGAAGCAAATCAATCACAGGTAAAGGGAGATCACTCTATAGGAGAAATCAATCCCATGTAAAGGGAGATTCACTGGAAATCAATCCAAGGTAAGGGAGATCATTCTGCACTGGAAATCAATCCCGTGTATTGGGAGATCACTCTATACTTGAAATCAATTCCAGGTAAAGGGAGATCACTCTATACTGGAAATCAATTCCAGGTAAGGGAAAATGGAAATCAATCCCGTGTATAGGGAGATCACTCTATCCCATTTAAAGGGAGATCACTCTGTATCAGAAATCAATCCCAGGTAAGGGAAGATTACTCTGATATCATATTGAAATCAATCCCAGGTAAAGGGAGATCACTCTATACTGGAAATGAATTCCAGGAAATATAGGTGTCACAACACTTTTAATCAACCGAAAGTAAGCAAGGGAAACTCTGTTTAAAATTGCTATGCAATTCATGCTGGAAATCTTTTCCGTCTAAGGGTGCTTAATTCCAAGTTGGATAAGGAAGTTAATCCAAATATTGTGGTCACACAATACACTGTGGAAATTTTATTCAGATATGAGGAAAAATATCCAGGCAATTTCATGTTCCTAATAATCCACATTTGAAATTTAACCACCCCCTCCCAATAATGTGGAATTTCAGCCACCTCTTAAACATGCTGTCAATAACTACAGTTAGAGAAGCTTATTCCATCTTTAAAATCCAAAGAAGTCTTCCATAGTAAAAATAATGCTTATTGTGTGCCTGTTGATAAATATTTTGAAATTAGTCAAGGCTCAAGCACTGTTTTAATGTATTATTTTTTCAGTCATCCACTGATCAAGAAACTTTACTCCTTACAACAAAATAACCCAGAGCTTGGAAGACTGGTGGTAGAACAGGTTTGTAGAGAGCTTTTTTTTGTTTCCTGAAAAATGTTTTCAGTGTTACCTTTCTGGGAAAAAAAATTATTGGTTTATACTATAATTGTAAAGGATCTATGGATGTCACTTACATGTCTGTACTTTTTGTATATGTCTATTCAGTTCAGTAATAAAAAAAATCAAGGGTATGACTGTACATTTATACATGTAATGATTGTACTCTATAGAGGGTATAGTTTTGGCTTTATTATGCCCTGAAAATTTCATGTTTACAGAAAGTTTTAAAATTTGCATAAATATGAGTTGAATATGTGTAAGAGATAAATCAGGAGGGTAGTTCTGGAAATACAATTTTTCTCTTGTTTTCGTTTTTTTATACATATTAAGGGGTTATTTTCCTAATAAGAAAAAGTGTACAGACTTTCAAGACTTAAATTTTCAGATATGTTGTGTAAAACTTTTTGAATAATCACATATACTGTAGATTCCTTATTTTTCCTTTTGGACTATGGGATCTGGCCTTATAAAATGATTCCCCAGGTCAGCTTTGACAGTCATTTTGTGAGAGCAGTGTTCACAGCCCTCTAATTTAATTTTCATTTTTAGGTGTGGATTATTTACATTGTCATGCTACATGTATCTACATGTCCTACAATTTAAGGAATTCCATTTGAAAATCTACATAACATGCCTTTTTTCCCGATGTAAAAAAAAAACAAAACAGCAGAAGATATGCAAAACCTGGCAGGGGGAAAACTTTGATAGCTTCATAAAAATCTGTACACCAGTGTGGAAGTTATGGGCCCTAAAATGTTAAATTTTCTGAGTTTCATGGTCTTTGATCAGGCTTAGGGAAGGACCGAGGTTATTTGTTGAAATTTTATTTGCTCTAAAAATGTACCTTGTGTCTCAGTTTAAAGATGGACTAGCAAATATTATGCATATATTGTGAAACTGGAAAAATAATTCCTCTTCCAAAATTTGTATTATTAGTCAAAAGATACTGTCTTGGAGATCATGGCCTTTATTGAAAGATAACTAAAATACGGATTCCAAAAAAAAAAAAAAGAAAAATCAATATTTTTATATATTATCTAATTATATAGGTGATACCTAGTTGGATCTTGGTGTGCCATTGTTTGTAGGTACCCAGATATTTCATGATCGTTATCAGTTTATGTCAACACATTCTCCCCGTTATCCTAATTCGGGTCATCTCAAAGGGAAAAAACACGCTACTCATAAGTAGAGGACAAAAGGACACCAGAGATATACACTTGAACATGAATTTAAGGTGTATGAATTAATATAAATAAAACACTGGAAATATTTTATCTGATCTATTTTTAGATATTGGTGTTTGGTTATCCTTTCTTTTCTTATCAAGCCATTATCTGTACATTCTTCAACCAATTTCATTACCAAAAAAAAATTTTTTAAAAAATCATTAATTCGTTTTCTTGAATATTTTTCAGTTATATGATAATGCTATGATACATGCTGGTTTGGTGGATGACCCTCGCACCATGGTGGACCGACTAAACGAACTTCTGGTGAAAGCTCTCGACAAACACTGACGAGGGCGTCTATACACGGGACCGTCAGCATTTAGCGATGTTGCAATGTACACGTACATTAATATATATATCTGTTGAAGGCAGTTTTAATCTATTTTACCTGCTTTATGGTAAAAATTCCACTGTTTGTAGAACAACTTTTATATGTAACATTCATGTTATATAACATTTACATTGTGAATGACGCGTGAATTGTTATATCACGGAGCGACAGTTGGTGACATTTTATAGAACTTTAGTGTCTGAAGAGTGCAAAAAAAAGACTTGTCTGTGATTCAATAAAAGTACAATATATTTATTGGTTTATTTCTTAATGTAGAGTACTGGTTCACTTAAATTGTTTTGTTGCTACACACAGTATAAATTGACCCATCCTAGATATCTTTAAAGGAGAACAAACCATTACAGTTAAGTAAGCCAATACAACCGACCTTTATCCAAGCCTTATAAAACACAGATTTTAGGACATGAATACCATGCAATCTTTTGTATGAAAGTGGAATAATAAACTTCAGTTTGTAATTTATCAAACATGAAATTTCAGCTATATGAGGATTGATTTTGACTAGAAGTATGTCATTTGTGGGTGTTCTTACTTTTTAAAAGCAATATCAATCCTACTGGTATACAAATTTCTAAATCCTTTGCATGATTTTGTAAATTCACTTTGGATATTTAACACCATCCGATTCTACTGTTTAAAATCTGAATTTATTAGCTTCTTTGATTAGCCAAAGGGGGCAATAACTGTAGGAGAAAGGAAAAATGTATGGATGTTCTTGAAATAAATCCTAGTACCCCTGTATCACTATTCAGGTGCTCTGCCAGTTGAGCTGTGTAGGCCAACATCCATGGCTAAAAGCATGACATACCTCCTTTAAGTTTTCTTAATCCTCAAAGACATATCTGATTCACCTGCAAGTCCAGGGATGGTCAAAAGCACCAAATTATGAAACAGGAAAGGAGAAAATGTATGACTGGACTAGAAATCAAACTTGGGACCCCAGCATCACTAGTCAGGTGTTCTAATGAGTAATGAATGAGCTATCCAGATAGATTTCCAAGGCCCACATCATTACAGACTAACAAGTCAAATCTCCCAAATCAAACCATCCAGTAGAACTGCTTCCTTAAAGATTTTACTGAAGAACTTGTCTCATAAGGCCACTGCAGGTTCTAAAGAAATTGGCCATATCAGACATTTTAATCAATCTATATTACTGAAAGAGACTTGAAGTTTACATTGTATTTGGCAAGATTTTGAAATACACAACATTCAGATTAGACAAGTTTCACTGTACCTTGATACTACCTCTCAGGTATCTATATTTTTATACCTGTCTATAAAATAACTGATGTCCTTCGAGTCGGATCACAAAGAAGGAGTCTCCACAAACACACCACATTTTGTTTAATTCATTTTATTGCCACATGGCATACTTGAAATAATAATATGAATGTAACCTATTACAGATTCTTTGCTAGATCTAGCTCCACAGTGATTTAAGACAACTAAAACTTTACATATGATTATTTTCTTGTTGGAATCAAGCATAAAGGAAAGTGTTCATTTGGCCAGGGCAAACTTCACACGTTAAAAGCAATAGTACACAAAATTATTTCCAATATCTGCCTGTTCTTAATTCATTTTTAGACTAGACAGAATAACATTAAGACAATATAAATACTCAGGAATTTATATACAAGTTCACAGCTTCGTACATACCCGATCATGAACCTTGTTTAGTAAAAGACGAATGCTTTTTTGGATTGCAAAAAGAGATAGATATATAAGAAATATTTTCAGAGCCATGATTGAGCCAAACAACTTTTACTAAACAAGGTGCATGAAAAAATAAATTGAGACCCATGTTTATATTAAATGGAAATCACAGAAGAATGCACAAGATCTAGAAAAGACTGGCCTACGGAATGATTTACCACATCATTTACAACAATGTTCTAACAACACTACCACATCCAGACCTTATACAATGTCAATGAGTAGCTTCACATGGGCTTTATATGTACAGGATTTATATAGATTTATTTTGATCGTCCCCTCTCTTACACTCACGTATAATATCTAACCAGCATTTTAGACTCTTTGTACACATGTAGTCATGGTGGAAATGAATTAACTGTCATTTCTGGTAGCCAAAATTAAAGCTACGATAAATCCATATAATCCCAATACTTCAGCAAAAATAAGAATCAGAATCATTCCAACGAAGAGTCGAGGTTGCTGTGCTGTCCCGCGTACCCCAGCGTCTCCCACAATTCCAATGGCAAATCCGGCAGCCAGACCACTAAGGCCTACACTGAGTCCAGCTCCCAAGTGTGTGAAACTCCTGCAAAATACATGTAATTCCAAGTTAAAATAATGAAATTATCAACTAGTGTTGTGAGGCTGAATATGCACAAAAAAAAAAATTGTTTTATTTAAAGTTTGGTACTGAAAATACAACTTACTTGAATAAAGTATAGTCTTTATCAATACTGTTGGCTATAACAGCAGCGACGACCAATCCGTAAATAGCCAAAATACCAGCCATGACCACAGGAATGACAGATTTCATGATCAGTTCAGGTCTCATCACGGACATGGCTGCAATCCCAGTACCTGACTTGGCTGTTCCATAGGCAGCTCCAAGCGCTGAAAGTTCAATAAGGTATATATAAGTGAAATGTAGGTAAACATAAACAAGTACATACATATACATTTATATATATAATATATTTTATTTCTATTTTCTTGTCCATATACTGAATAGTGATTTACAGAAACCTGACATCTGTTACACTGATATGTAAACTTGTGTTAGATATTCATTTGAGTATCATTACATGTAGTATGCTCTTCTATATATTTACCTACTGTTCTAAAACTAAGGGATTGCAAATACCTGTTGATGACCCTTGACAAATAAATCAGTAAGAAAACTGTCAATTGGCATGCAGTCTGACTGTGTACAGTGCAAATACAAGATAACTGTACATTTATGGCAATGGTATACAATACAATTTCTTTATACATCTAAACAGTGGAGGAAATGTTGCAACAAAAAATATGTAACATGTCCATTGTTTTAATATTTCCCCACTGTGACTGGGAAATAAATATTAGCAGTTATGCATCCAAGTAATAAAACTGTTGCTATATGAGATTAAAAATAAATTCATGCATCGGGTATTCTCTTGCATTAGATCATGAATGTATAAAGCATTCTTCCTTTTGAGAAATTATTTAACACCTCTTACTTTTGTTTTAAAATTGGGAAAATGTTTTCAGAAACTGGATAAAAAAAATCCTTATTTTCCATAGAGGAAGAGTTTAAAAGAACAATTTAAAAATTTTCTGAAAAGAAAAACATTATACATATAGATTTTTCTATTTTAAGGTTGTTGGTTTTATATGTTTTAAAGTTTACACAGAAATTCATACTATTTTGCTCTTCACAGTCACTAGGCATGTATACTTATTTTATGTTGTGAAAATGTGTTCTCATTACTTATAAAGGTAAAACAGGCATTTGTGAATATTAAATTGTGTTATTTAATGTTCCCAATGTCAAGGACATATCAGTCATTTTTTCATCTTCAAATACACAGCATGTCAGCCATGAACACAGAAGTACTAGAATTTTGTTCTGTTGTGTTAGCCTGTAGATCTTAATAAAAAAGATGAACAGCTTATTGTTATCAGTGCTTGTTAAATCTTAAGGCCATAAAAACTTTAAAGAGAACCTTATAAGGTAAAATAAAAGAAACAGGTAAAGAATTCCAAGTAAAGAAACTTAATCCCCATAATATATAAGGAAGCCTACGTAATTTATTATCAAAAGAATGTTGAATGATACAAGAAAACTGCTGCCTCAGCTACTGTTTACAGTCCAGGCATTATAAAGATGCTCAAACCAAACTAAGCAGTCCTAATCAATGGGAAATTCCGTCCTATATACATCCCTCTCCAGATCTGCCCACCGTAAAGGAAGGAATCAATATCGCTTACTACAACACCATACAGCACGAGAAAACCAGGAAATCAATGCAATTCTAAAACAGTACCAAGGTCACAAAGGACTTCACACAATACTGCATAATACTGACGGAGGACAGAGTGAGCCTGATAATCGGGAAAATAAAATATAGCAGTTATAAACTACTGCTGCTGATGCCTGCTGCACTATAAATATACAAATATTTATTGTTTGACAAAATCTGCTTGCTGCCCCCCCCCCCCCAAAAAAAAATAAAAGAAAGAGACAGAGAGAGTAAAGAGTTTATGAAATTAGAAGTCATGTTCATAATACAGCAAGTAGCTCACTGGTAACATGTGGCTCAGTCCATTACATAAGAATATCCATCTATAGTGACAATTAGTCACATGACCTGCTCTTACTTCCATAGTAAACATCACATGTTAGACAGCGCTACACCTGGCAAACCTTCAACATGTGATCAAATATGTACCGGTAAATCAGCTGATAACTGGAACCATTTAAACACAAATATAAAATACCAGTAATTGAAATATCTTTCAGAAAAACCAATAAAAAAATGACTATTTACTACATAGTAAACATTCCAACAAGACCAAATTGTGAATTTCTTGCACAGTTAGCTCATCAAATATCTAATTCTTTTTTAGTAAAGGTAAGAAAATTAGTTATCAAACAGAAAATTCTAAACTTGCATCACATTAAATACTTAAATAATTTCAACTCAGTTAAATAATTAATCTTTTCCCTGTTGTAATTATCAAATATCATCATACAAATTAAAACTGATGCAGATTTTCCACCATTTCTTAAAGTACCGATGGAAAATGACTATGGCTGCTAAGTGCTTAGCAAAAATAACCGATATTCATGGTAATTGAAGACCTAAGGAAGTCATATAACTATATATTATGTATCAATTTTCTGGGTTTTCTTTTAAAGATCAAAATATCCAACATAGTTCATCTAAAAATATCCTAACAGTTTTGAAGGTTTAGTGCTCAGTGAGGGAATTATTTTTTGTAACCTTCCTATATTGGGAAAGAGGACTTAATTTACTGACTTGTTTGTCACTCTCCACAACGATCTACACATCATTCAAGTGGTGTGCTTGAAAGAAAAGTTAATCATCCACTTGACTAAACAATTGTTAAGGTCAAAGCACTATAATCTGAACCATGTAAAAATCATTATTTATCAAATTTTATAAGATATATCTATATCTATCTACAGCACTTATCAAACACATTACAACATACAACTCAAAATCAGTCAAGAGACTGCACAGACTGAAATTAATGAAACTCTCCCTGACACCTTTTCCAACTTTCCCAAGAATCTGAATAAAAATTTGTGTTCAAGTTACATTGAAATTCCTTAGTAGTCTGGGGCTGACTTTTAAATACATGAATAATTAAAGATAACAAATATTATCTCTTGAATGGCTCTATCACTATATACACAAATCTAAAAATTCAGGCCATAGACGTTCTCGATGTCACTTAAATGTCAACAAGACAGACCCAAAAGCACTAATTTAATAGACAACCTGGGAATTTGTGAGAGTGTACTAGATATTTTTTTTCAAAGACATAAAACCATGGAATACATGCATGCTGATATTTTTCCTGTGACCTAAAATGAATGTTAACACTTGCACCCACATACACAAAAATTTGTTTTGCTCTCTATCCTAAAAGATGCATCCATTTCATTTATTAAGAATTTCATGAATCAAAATTTAATACTCAGTTAAAGGTCAATAACATAGTTTTTTTTTTCCTCTGACAGGTTCAATTTTGGGATTGTATGTAAGAATGGTTAAGCAATAATTTACTAAAATGCATTACAGCATTAGAAAGAAAGGGTAAAAGAGAAGAAATCCTTTTTCAGCATCCCATTCTTTCTAAGGTCATGCTGGGTATGCCAATGAAGCATAGATCATAGGTTTCATGTCAAAAAATGATTCTTTAATTCTTAAAAGATTAAATATACTAAATAACCGATATGACTATAAATTTTCTTTTAAAAAGTTTATAAAAGGCTGTTTAATTTAGAAATAATACAGTAGCTTCCAAGTTCTAAAAATAACTTATTTATGAAGAATACCTCAACAACTAACTTTTTTGTTAAATTTCTTGTCATGAACATATCATAGATAATGTATTTCATAAATGTTCTTTAACATCTGTACCCAGCCGGCAATGACCGCTAATGAGTGATCAATCACCACTCCAGACCAATTTTCATTCAAGTCTTACCACTGAAAGCGATGGCGGCCGTAGCGCCCATTGAGCCGAAAAACGGTGTGTATATTGGTTTGTTGTCTGCCATCTTCCAAGATTATTAAATTTTTCACAAAGAGAAGTTTAACCGATAATTATCTTTTTCAGTAGTTCTTCCTCAAATTTTGTCCACCGTGAATATGGCGAATGACATGTAATCATGTGATCGATATGAAGAAAAATGTTAGCTGAGTTGTGATTGGGTAAGGCTTTCCAGAAGAACCAATGAAAAAGAGTTTAACATTTTGTAACATAAATTTAAGGGAAGTAACTTTTGTCAATGGCGAAACACGTGTGTTTGTGTATACATTTTTCTACTCACCAGAATGAAACAGTCTTGGGAAAAATCTAACCAAGGATGAAATTTTCTTACAAAGTAAGAATGGGATAGTGCTACATACTACTGTATGTTGCCAATCCGGCATAATATCAATATTTATAAATTATTATAACATGAATTTTTATTTAAGGTTCTCTTCTGAATATTTTTGGCCCTGGAAATAATAATAATGATAAAAAAATTAGTATTATAATGCCATTATTTTACAGTTTTCCAACTTGCTTGGGTCAGTATACAGGAAGGGAAACATTCTATTTAGTCCGGATGGAAACAGTGTCATCAGCCCTGTTGGAAACAGAGTTTCTGTATTTGACTTGAAAAAGTGGGTAAAATTTGAGTTATATTTTTATAGTTAAAAAATTCTGACGTTTTCCAGGATATTTTCACGATTAGGCTATGATATTTTACGTGCCAGGAAAATGTCAGAACCAGTGCCTGGAAACTGGAAATTTTGCCATCTCCTGGAGGCAACATTCTCGGGTTGATTTTCGATGCTTTTAAACTGAACTCAATGCTGAATTAACAACTTATCAACAGTGCAATCCCTTTAGTACTCACCAACGTCCGTTTTATGTGTTTTTTTTAAAATATATCCAGAGAAAATATTTATTAGACAATTGAGTTTTCTTGTTTTCATTTCAATCATGCATTTTAAAATCTTGCAAAATCTGTATCTAAATATGGAGTGATATTTTTTTCATTGAAATTGGTGAGTACTAGAGACATTACACTAATTAATAAATTGTAAGTTTGGCATTTAAATCATTTTGCAAGTATTCGAAAATTAGATTCAGTTGGAGGCGGTGAAAATTCTAGTTTTAGTAATGGCGCCGGTTCTGATGTTTTCCTTCTGGCAATCAAAATATCTGGGAAAAAAGCCTAGAAAAATCAAGATATTTTGGACTACATTTGAGTGTGTTTTTATCAGCTTATGTGGTAATTACTTTAAATAAAATCATCTGTATGTCTTGTTTTCATGAAGATCCCTCTGTTTTCAGCAACCAGTCAGAGACCCTGCCAATAGAAAGTAACACCAACATAACTTGTGTGGGGTTGTCACCAGATGGAGTGACCCTCATTTTGGTGAATGAAGGTAAGACAAATGTATCCTAGTGTATAGCCCTTATAACTCCAACTTACCAGTAAAAAGAAAATGTTGAGAGTGCATTGATTTACAGTAAACTTGTACTCAACCTGACATGTACACAAACTGAGTAGTACACAGTTTGGGTTCTGGTTGATGTTGACAGGTTCACTTGTGAACAGTTAAGTTGTTGTTAGGAGAGAAAGCCTAGAAAAATTTGTTTTATGTGTTTGTTGTATTTATCAATAACAGCAATAATCAATCAAGCACATATCATGTGCATGATGAGTATTGGACTCTATTCTAGTTTTCAAGTTGACAGTATTAGATTTTTATTGAAAATTTTTCAAAAAAGTAAAGTTGAAATTTGGACAAGTAAATGTCTTGGTCACTTGTCCGATAAAAAATTTAAGTAGGGAAAAAAGTTCTCGTAGAACCCTTATGCATATAAACAAACATGAGTAGTAAGGTCGGTATACATGATATACAACTTAACATATTGAAATTTTTTTTTTCAGAGGGAGATGCCTTATTATGTAGTTTGTTGAGCAGGACAGTCATTCACACTTACAAGTTTCATCGACCAGTTCACTGTATACAGTTCAGTCCAGATGGCAAGTAAGGACAAACAGTTCTTATTAACTGCTGCAGGATATTCTATGTTGTATTTCACAAATCAATTGAGATTTATCCCCAGAAAGTTCTCAATGCCACAAGAAAAAGAAGTGTGTAAGTGTGTATGAATATAACATCCATTAATGGCTTTTGTATTCTTAATTCCAGGAAGTTCGCTGCCACCCGTGACAATATGGTGCAGGTTTTTCATGCTCCAGGAAAAACCAAGGAATTTAACCCCTTTGTTTTGTACAGAACATTTTATGGGGCCTATGATGAGACACTGTGTATTGATTGGACCACAGACTCTAAGTATAAACTCTGCTCCCTACCTTAGTAAAAACTTTTTTTGACCTTTTGAACTTACATATGTACATGTATTTCTTCTTGTCACATATACCTGGTACTTGCTAATTCATTATTTATGTCAAATAAGGCTTTGAGCAATGCATAAAGTCCATAATAGACAACATTTTTTCTAGAATCGGTCAAATATAAATCAGAATTCCTAGTTACTATAACTTCATTTCCTATCAGCCAAGTACAGTCTTGTGTTTGACCTTTTACAGAGCATTTTGTGTGGGGAGCAAGGACATGAACACCAGGATATATGGTACAGAACGCTATAACAACTTAATTGTCTACACCATTGGTGGACATGCTGATGCTATTGTGGGAGCTTTCTTTGAAAAGGACTCTTTAGATGTATCCTTTTGTTTACTTTAAGCAATATTCATTCAGTTGATTCTGATTGAGTTGGGCCAATAATAAAAATGATGTGTTTGATGTACTCGAACTGACGCGTCAAAATCACCTTTACCCAATCATTTTTCAGCACTTTGAATCTTTGAAATAGTTTCAATAGAAATAGAAATTGTTTCAAAAGGTAAGGTATATAATAGAACCTACCGAATGGGAAAACCTAGCACTTGATCACAGTGAAGATGGGGGCAAACCAGTACCAGGAAAAGATCATGAACCTGGTTGATAAAAAAACGTACAAAGCGTAAAGAGAGAGAGAAGTGTCTGTTAACACTCCATTAGGACCTTCTTGTCCAGTTTGTCGTAGGGCATTTCATGCAAAGATAGGACTTGTCAGCTATCTTCGCATTCACAACAAAACATAGAAATAGACGAGATATTATTATGGTCATCTTCGATAATCATCTAAGGACGAACTATCACATAATTTTTCTAGGATGCTTTTCAATTGAATATTTTTATAGCAATTAATGTTAAATCTGTCTAGCTATTCAACGTGTAATGAAAACATCCATAAATTTCTGAGTCTGTGATTTCTATGATAGGTTTCCATACATAAATTCAAGATTTAATTATAATCAAAATTTGATCAAAGTAGTAGCGGAGTCATTGATCATTACTTTTGGGTAATTTTGGGAATTTTTACATTTTCTTTAACTTTAAAGGTATACATTGTGAGTAGAACAGGTCATCTGAGCGTTTGGAAATGTGACACAGAACCAGCTGGACTGGAGCCGTACACTAAACCAGAGATCGAGACCGGTGCTAAACTGGTATCACATGAGGAGGAGGAGGAACCAGACAAGAAAGGTTGACATTTAAAAGAGTAAAAGACATCCAAATGGAGTCATTTTAGATAAAAAGTTATATGATCTAAGATTACTGGTGAAATGATTTGAAGTACATGATTGAGGGTTGATCCAAAAGTAATGTCACAAGTTTGATAAAATTGCTATAAATGAACTTTAAGAAACAAAATTGTACATGATGGAAGTTTTATTTATTTCAAATTAGACCTGAAAAATTCAAAAGAATATGATGTATACTTTTCAGAATATCGGATTTTAAACAATGCGTGCTTATGGTAGTCGCCACACCGAAATATAACGTCATATGACGAATGCACACCGTCATACTTTTAAGCATTTCCCCTTCGTTTCATTAAAAAATATTTGGGATTCGCAAACACTTTCTCCAGTTCCACTTTATGAATTCTTGGTACCATTATACGCTCACCCTTTTCATAATTTAGCCCTCTGTCAAAATTTTTTGAACAGTAGCGTAAGACAAACTTAAAAATTCACCTGTCACTCTATACGTCTGTCTTTTTTGACAACATCAGACACAATTGAACGTTTCTGTCCTATCTTCTCCCCTGTCTTTCCGACTTCTTGTCATCTGCTAATCATTCAGTGACCAATCACCCACCCAAAATTGTTGAAACCATCTATTAAGATGTCTCTTATTTACATTCTTTATTCTGTAAGTCTGATTGATTAACGAAAATGTTGCTAGTGATGATTCTCATATTTTAAAGCAAAAATGCATAACAACTTGTCGAGCCGTTTTCCCCATTTCGACAATCCCTTTGTTCAATTCAACAGAGTAAAACAACAATGTTTATGATCACAAATACCAGTGTTGTCATTTAATTTTCAATTAAAGACTAGAAAATGACAAGAATTGTGCCTTAAAAAAAAATTAAGAGATTAGGTGCTTTTTTAGAATCTTTTTAATGTGTTTGTCTTTTACATTCTAAGACAAATGCACTTTAAAACGTGACGTTCCGTTGTGACGTGGCGACACCCCCTATGCTGTATGATTTAAACATCCATAAAATAAATTCAAATAAACATTATTAAATTAAAATTTCAATGTTAATTAGATTTATATTTGTGCATCTTTTGGTATATTGTATTTGATAATATGACGCCAAACATGAAAGATATGGACACTGTGACATTACTTTTGGATCAACCCTCGTACATGTATTTGAATGTAATGTTTGTTGCTTGAAAGTGATCAAGCATTTTAGGACCTATATTAGCTCTTCAAATACTTCTTAAAGTATTTTGAAGGCTATAAAATGTCAAATATACATTGCAAATATATATGAAAGCATTGTTATGTAGTTATAACTTGAATTTATGGGCAAATTTTATTTTTCCCTCTGTATAACAAAAGCTGCATGTATAAATCTCAAATTCACATACAGGGCATTGTCATGCAGCGTAATTTTAAATTGGATCTATTCATAGACCACAATGTTACCGGCGGAATAATTTTTGTAGGATTCAAATTTAAAGATTTTTGAAAGATTCTTTCACTAGGAATGAGACAGCATATTGTGAAGTTATAGACTGTCTTG